CTGCCACCTACAATCCAATCCCATGACCAAAGAGATATTTCCCTCCCCACCCCATCTGCCTTTCGTAGAGACCACTTACTCCTCCGCTCCACACTCCACTATCCCCACCACACTTGGCACCTTGCCCTGCTACTGCAGTAAGTGCTACACCTGCCCCTACAACTCACCCCTCACCTCCATTAAGGCCCAAAGCAAATCTTTCATATCAGACAGGGATTCACCTGTACATCCGCCAATTTGGTCTACTGTATCAGCTGCTCACGATGTGGCCTCCTCCATTTCGTGGAGCATCTGCGCTCTGTACGCAACAAACGACAACACCTTCTGGTCGCCAGCCATTTTAACTCACCCTCCCACTCCTTGGGAGACATGTCCATATTGAGCCTCCTCCAGTGCCACAATGACACCACCCGCAAACTGGAGGAGCAACACATCATATTCGGGAGTCTATAGCCTGATGGCCTAAACGTAGAATTCACCAGTTTTAAAATCTCCCCACCTCCAGCCTCATCCTATGTCCAACCCTCCCTCTCATCCCTGCCTCTTTGACCTGACACAATCTGTCCATCGTCTCTCCCACCTACCTGCCCCACCCTTCCTACTGACTAATCCCCACCACTACCCCTACCTGCGCTCACCTATCACTATCCCCCTAACTTTCCCCAGCCCCACCGTTCCTCTCTCTATTTATTTGCCAGCTCCCTTCCCCGTCCCTATTTCTGAAGAAGGCTCCAGACCTGAAACGTCGACTTTCCTGCTCCTCTGATGCTGCCTGGTTTGCTGTGTTTCCCCAGCTCCACACTGTTGTCTCCGTAATACCACAGACTTGGTCAAAATAGAATCAGTATAGACAAGACCATATATCTTTTTTTGATCTTTATAGCTACGTATCAACTAATACACTGCACTTACACCCGAAACATGTAGGGTCACTCAGCTTTTGAGAATCATAAATCTACTCACTCCATCTAATTAGGCTGCACTGGAAATTAGCACAGATCAGAGAACAAAGCTGACTCCTTCCTGGCCTGTGTGCCTTAATTCTGCATCACAGTCCAGTTTTGTACACTGTAAATTCCTCATATATCCAACTACCGTTACAGAGAGTAGCAGAAAGGTAGCACAGATCAGAGAATGAATGGAACTCTGGGTCTGCATCGTTCAGTTACACATTGGTCAGTACATTTGCCAACCCAGTCAATAAAAAAGAGGGAAGGTTTTTCTATTGTTTTAAAAGTTCTGATCCAAACACAATCTATTATCTCTTTAATGGGAAACATCTCAGCTCCTTAGTCCAAGACTGGGTCTTCTAAATATGATTGAGTTCATTTTTTTTAGCCTAAAGCAGAACTGGATGGCATAGTGCTCCAATAGCCAATGTAGTCAAATTGCTTTAAAGCAATCTGCCTATTGGCCATGTATCTGTTTTCCAGGAGTATCAGTCAAAAGTTTCAGCTGTGGCTCCTTGATCTGCATTTCCTTGGTTCCCGCTTCACTTAAACCAACATTCTGATCACGTTCTTGATAACTGGAATTGTTTTTCATTCTTATTGGTTCATACTGTCTTTGAGTTATCTGCTTCCGAATCTCCTCCAGCTCATTCATCCTCAGCTTATGATCAGTTTCAGCTTCCTTCCTTCGCCACTGAGATCGGCAAACTATTTCTTTGTGAATATCAACAAAAAATTCTGTAAAACCAAAAGTAACGTGTCCAGTAAGTAAGTAATGAATGGCTATAATTATTTTAACAGATCATAGTGTGCACTTAATCCAGGGCATTTCTGTTCCAGACAAGATATGTGGCAAACCTATAATATTTTATATGTTTGTGCAGCAGAGAGATTAGGAACGATTACCTTGCAATTTCATAAACAAAATAACTTTAACAAGTGAAGAGCGAAATAAATATTTCTTCAAAACTGCCACACCCATGCCATTTTACATTAACTTGACCCTTGAACTAACAAGGGAGTCAAAATAATCAGGAGTGGGCAGGAGAGTGAAGTTGAGGCCCCAATCAGATAGCCATGATCTTACTGACCGGCAGAGTAGGCCTCTCCCTGCTCCTAGCTCTTATGTTCGTATTTGTAAATTCGTATAGTGTAGCCTTAAGATCACTGTTGGCAAAATCAGTAAATGAATGCATAATACTTTCATATAACATCTCTATGTTCATCATTTTAGTGGAAGTACCACCTACCAAAATCTGCACATAAATCCCAGACAAATGCCTTACAAACATATCCTATCTTTTTCTGTTAATTTCTAGACGAGAACACATTTGCTGAAGTGTTTAGCAATAGCCTCATTTTATTGATTATGGAACAGTGGGGCCTTTTACTAAACTTTGTATCTATTCTGGACACCTGCAATAAAGATCAACCAGTATCTTCTGAAGTTTAAGTGAAGATGCCTGGGCGAATGAACATACAAGTGTGCATGTGATGCGACACAAAAGCTATTCGGGCTAGCCGGCTCAGGTTTCATAACTACTTCATAACAACTACTATGTTCTAAAAATTCTCAGTGACAGCACAGAGTATATTTCCACTTAGTATGTAAGAACCACAGCTGAAATAACTCTTTTGCAACAGCAAATGCATTGATAAAAGGCATTGTACTCACAAGAAAATGTTAAGCTTGCCCTATCCACTGAATCATATTTCTGTCTTTGATTTGATTGGCCTGTGTGTTAGGCTTGCTCAGGTGACACATCTATTTCCATTTGCAGTCTTGTCAAAGCTGAATGTTATTACAGCCATTTATGTTCACTTGTTTGCAGTTCTTTAAAAATGCTTTCTGATGAGTAGCACTGGCCCACAACAATATACAAAATTATACAGAAATTACAACATGGAGAAGGATATTCAGCAAAGGCAGCCAGTATTAGTGTTTATCCCCCACATCAGCAATCATGCTAAACTCACACACAACTCCTTTACTGCACACCACTTTTCTTCAATCGCCTATCATTGATATTTTCAAAATGTTGATATGCTCTCTAATTCAATCACTTACTTTCATAGTTCGTTCTACAGCTTCACAAACCTCTGTGAAATGTATACTGCTGTTCTCTGGCTTCATGCTGTTTTTTAAATCTTCTGTCAATGTGCTCTGTTCACAGGTGCCTTTGCCACTGGAAATAGGCAGTTTCCATTGAACTTTGTCCGATCCCTTAATCATTTAAACACCTGCAAATCACCGCTTAATGCTTTAATGAAATCTGCCCTAATATACAGAGATTTTAATTTACTCAAGAAACATATTTTCTGCCATGAAAATCAATACTTTAAACTGACATCCTGTTTCAATTTTAGATGAAAAATGTAAGGCCAAACATTTTTATGGAACAAATGTGTTCTGTAACTTTTTAAGCTGCACAGTATTGCAACACTAACCCTGCTGGTCTAACTGGAGGGCAATGTGGGAATGTGCCTGCCATTCTCTGCAGTGCTGCATTTTTAAAATGTAGTGACGTGGGCAAGAACTGAGCAAAGGCTCTGTTTTATTGTTCATTACTGAGGAAGGAGATGATCAAAAACACTATAATTTCCTGGTTATGTTCATTGATTTCTTAATGCCTAGTACAAGGTGAGATACATTGAGAAGGGGAAGCAGTGTCTGCCCACCCCTGGGAGCTGGACCAAGAAAAGAAAACTGGCTAAGGACACAAAGCAATGGATTTTTAAAGTAAAAGCTTCAATGCAGGAAGCGATACTGACAGTTAACACAGTCAAGCTTGGAGCAATGCTGTGGGAATTGATTCTAATGCAGGTTTAAATTATGCTTTGCTTATTTCTCAACATGAAAAGGAAGGCACATATTGGAGGAGTCACACATGAAAGTTTCTGGTGCCTCCTAGTGGTTGCTTATTGGAAGCAATAGCCTGGTGGACATGCAAAAAACAAAGTTAGAGACAAAAAAACTGCAGATGCTGGAATCCAAGGTAGACAAACAGGAGGCTGGAAGAACACAGCAGGCCAGGCAGCATCTGGAGGAAAGGAGCAGTCAACATTTTGGGTGTGACCCTTCTTCAGGACTGAATGTGTTGGTGGGTGAAGCTGCAGAGAAAGAGGGGGGTGGGGAAAGGGGTGGAGGTGGCACCCCCCTCCCCCCGCTACTTTATCTGCAGCTCCCCCTACCCCCACATCCAGTCCTGAAGAAGGGTAATACCCAAAACGTTGACTGCTCCTTTCCTCCAGATGCTGTCTGGCCTGTAGTGTTCTTCCAGCCTCCTGTTTGTCTACCATGCAAAAAACAAAAACGGGTTAAAAACAAAATATACTTAAATACTCCACAAAAATTACAGGAGACTGAACCAAAGCCCCAAAAATAAGAAAAAGGCCTAGTCTGATTTGCAATTTTAAATATGAGGATTTTATTAATGAGTATTTAATCAATGTACTTTCACGATAGCTAAAGTTTTGCAGCAACATAAGAGGCTATTAGTAGATACTGCCTGCAAAGCAGCATCAGAGACTGAAAATACACCCTTTTTTAATCATCCATTCTACCTATGTTGCTCTTGAAATAACAAAAAAATCAATAGAGCTATTATTTGTATACTTATTAGCGTCAGCGCTACGTCAACAATGAAATGAAAAACATGGCAACCTTCCAGGAATGGAATGAGTCAGAATATCAGACAATTATTCACAGATCATACAGAACTTTGACTCATTGAGGAAAGCAAGTGTAAGCACAGAAGAATTTCTAAAAAAAACGTGGAGTCGTCTGTGGCTAGCATGTTGATCAATTATTTGCAAGTTAGAAACAAATTTTGAAATATTTGGTAGACCCAGAAATTTTCAACAAAGCCCAACAACAACTTATATGTACCTAGCATCTTAATTGTAATGAAGCATCCCAAATAGGAGCATTAGAAACACAGTAGGACACCAAGCCACATAAAGAGAAACTAGCTCAATTACTCAAGGCTTGACCAAAAAGGTTGGCTTTAAGGAGTACCTTAAAGGAGGAAAACGAGGGAGAGAATTCCAGACCTTAGCACCTGGGCAGTTGAAGGTGTGGTCACCAACGGTATAGAAATTATAATTTGGAATGCGGTTGAGGGAAGTTGAAGAAAATTCCAAAGACAAGAAATTTGTGCCTTTTAAGATAGAAATTCATAAAAATGTGACGTTTGATGGAATCTTCCCCCGTCAGCTTTCGTGTTCCTCTGATGCTGCTTGGCCTGCTGTGTTCATCCAGCTCTACACCTTGTTATCTCTTTTGTTTCTTTATGATGGGTTGAATTTTATCCAAAATTGGCTAAGTGTCAATTTTAGCAACATGCAAAGAGGGTTTTTGCCCATGAGGCTTAGTGAGATTTCTAATGCTATATTCCCAAACTCTCCTCATTACCTATATACCATGTCCAATGGCACCCCACTCATCATATTCTCCCACTCACCACATGTGTAAGTACTTATTACTGCCAGGACCTTTGTGGCACGGGTGCCATATTTCAAAAGCAATTGGAGGGCCTTCCTCCTCCCACAGGACAGGCAAAGGAGATCCAGACCCTGCCAGCCTGATCTGAGGTTGCCACCCTTGTCAGAGTTTGGAGGAACATTCAGAAACACTAGCACAAGGTCAGTGGTCTTCTCAAGTCCACAAAGGTAAGTTCCATGCTCTATCTGCTAATCTGACACTCCCTAAATCTGCTACTGCACAAATATCTCATCAAGGCTCATAGTCCACTACTCACACTGTTGTATTCAATATCTCCTCTCACTCAACCAATCATCTCACATCAGTAATCCTGCATAGCCTCTGCACTGCCCAGTCTTTGCATGGTGTTGGAGGTCAGGAAGTCATCCCTACAAGACATATTCCTCCCCCCACCTCTTAGGAACAGACCATTGATTCCCCATCACCTTGCTGTTGGCGCTAATGGCTCGCATAATGGCATGCAGATCCATGCATATATCCAGCAGTCAATGAGTGTGCTGAACCTGATTCTCCATGACAGCCGACAACGTATTTATGGAGGCAGCCAAATGCTCACATGCAAGAGGCAGCATGGTGCAATGAAGTTGGAGGAGTCCTACATCCTCTGAGTCAATTTTCCAAGTGCCTCTGACAAGCCTGCCAACTACTCTTCTATTTTCTTGTGCATTTAAATGAAGTTCTGAATCACTGATGCCATCAATGTCCCCATGATTACCCAAACAGAACTCCAACACCACCAAGCTCCATAACCCTAGCTGCAGAGCCCAGGACTGCACAGAGATGCAGTGACAGTTACAGAGTCAGATAGCATGAAAACAAACCCTTCAGTCCAAATCATCCATATCGACCAGCATCCCAGTCTGACCTAGTCCCATTTGTCAGCATTTGGCCCATATCCTATAAACTCTTCCTATTCATGTACCCATCCAGATGCCATATAAATGTTGTAACTGTACCCACCTCCAGCACTTCCCCTGGCAGCTTATTCCGTACACGCACCACCATTTGCATGAAAATGTTGCCCCTTACGTCCTTTTTAAATCTTTCCCATCTCACCTTAAACCTATGCCATCTAGTTTTGGACTCCCTCATCCTACGAAAAAGACCTTAGCTAGTCACCCTATCCATGCCCCTCATGATTTTATAAACCTCCATGAGATCACCCCACAGCCTCGGTCAACAGTACATTGGTATGGGTTAAGGCTAACAATTTTGCCAAGACAGAATGTTCAATATCACTCACATTGTACCTTCATGCTGTAGAAAATTAATAGCTCAGAAAGAGATCCTTCAGCCTATCACGTCACAAAAAAGTAACTTGATCTTCATTGCAAGCATTGCGTAAAGAGCTGTTTGAACAATCAAATGGCTGTAGATGAACTGGAGCCACGGTGTTGTGTATTTAGATGGAGCTTTGGTGGCAAAAAACAAGTTGATTAGTCTATGAACTAGTGATCAGTTCTTGATGATAAAAGCCATTTGCCTGCCAACAGCCATGTGATTGGTTCTCAGGTAACTGAATAACTTGGTTTGGAACAAGATACGGAGAAGTGTTTGGAGCTGTCAGGAGCTGTCTCTCTTGGTTGACTGTTTCTCTCCAGTCAAAACCCATTTTAAACATGAGAGAACCAGTTAATCTTTCCGTCAGCGTTTGCTGTAAGCCATGACTTTTAACTGATAAGTCAGAAATCATTTAAAAGTGAATCAGCAACCCTGTGCCTCCTGAAAATCAGTGGGAAAGGAAGAAATAGATATTTTGAGGGCACATTATTGTCATGGGTGAAATTTCATTGTAGATGTTTCCACCTTTGTTAATATAGGTTCATTAGATCATCAGATGTATGAGCAAATTTCTGTCTAGCTGCAACTACAAGATTAAAGGTACAAAGGTTAGTCATCCTTAGTGCTAGTCATCCTTTATGGTCCAAGATGTGAAGTGAGCAGTTCCTACAGTATTTCCAGACTATGGGAATTGGAATATATTTGCTACTTTGTCACTTGCACATCATAGTCATTAGTAGCTTTGATTCCTGAAGCTGCATGTTATGGTCAGGAGCGGTTAGGCCCAGGATTTGGAGCCCACACAACAGGTTAATGCTTAAGGTTCACACATGCAGCAGTGAATGCCGGTGTCTTTACCTGTACTGTATTTGTATCTTTTTAATGCTATTGCTCTTTGAAGGGATTCACATTGCACGCAAGTGAAGCTTTCTCCCTCACAGAATGAAACACTTATCATGCCCACTGGTGGCAGCCATTTTCATCTCCATTGCACACTTGTTATTTAGCAGGAGGTGGCAGTGACATTTCACACAGTGAGTCCAAGGTTCAGCTTCTTACTCCAGATATCATCCACACACACACACACACACACACCACATTCCCCTTCTCCATGACCCCATCAGCTTCGAACATCACTATGTTTCCACACAACCCATTTATTGAATAATTCTTCTCCACACATTACCCTGAGCCCCATGCATATTAAATCATGCCAGACAGAGTAATGTACTGCTCCCTCCATTGAAGCCAGGTTGGTACTGGTTGTTTATGATCCCTGCACCCCTCCTTCTAACATTTCCCCCTTCTTGAATGTTGAGATGCCCCACTTCATAACTGAGATAACCCTTACATCCCAGCATGCTGCCTCTAATCCCAACAAAAATTCATTTTCCTGATTTCCTCCAAGAACAGTGGCCCCTGATAAGCCCCCTTTATTTTTAGTGGACGGACCCCAGGACTGACTATGGCCCATCCCCCGACCAACTTAGACAGATAGCTATGAGAGATGACTGACAAAACCCCTGTCAGACAGGTGTCTGTCTTCACTTGACTGAGGATTGCTTCCTGTAGAATTTCAGACATTTTAATTATTCATTGTGTTTGCCACATACACTACTGGCACATAGTGCAGTAATATATTCACTCCCTTGATTGAAAACAACCATGACAAGTTGCCTGGTTCGTGTCTGTGCTAAATGGCAAGGCAATACAAAAGCACAGTGAACCTTTAAGCTCTGGCCGAGGGGTAAATGGTACAAGAAAGGAAGGTAAGGCATGCTGTGAGCACCAAAGTAGGTGCAAAGTGAATGAGTGCAAAGACAATAAACAAGGACTCCTGAGATGGTGCAACCCATGAGTTTGGTGCCTCTCTCTGCAGCAGTATTCCAATGAAAGGTGCTGTACATTCCAATGTGCAAATGGAAGTATAGAACAGTTTTGTAAATGGATCAAAGATGTGCATGAGGGTGTGGGGAAGTTGGGAAGTGTTGAATGGGGCAAGTGGACATTACAGTCCATGGACTGTGCCCAAACTGTTAGAGGCCGAGATGAAGGGTTGGAGGAACAAGCGGAAAGTTGGAGTTGCCAGGTAATCACTCTGAGTTTGATACCAGGAATTGTTGCCATCTAATTTCTATCCAGCAGATGGCAGAATAGGAAACTGCATATAAATAAGATGCGATTAACTAATAAGATGGTAATATATGCTAAATAGACCTCATGAGCTCACTAGTGAGAATCTTGTCTTGCCCTGTTAATATTTAATTGGAAAATGGAGCTTTTTGCTCACAATGTCGGTAATCTCCTTAATGCCAATCTCAGTGATTTTCCCAACGTTCTCACCAAGCCCATGTCATTCAGTGCCTTCAAAAATTCCACCTACTTTTTCCAATATTTCTTCTCCTTGTCTCTGGAGACTGACTCTCACTGGGTTATAATTTATGGGTGATACCAGACTTCTGAACCATCATTCATATGACCTTCTGTCATGTCCTTACAGTGAATCAATTTGAATGCATCGATTTGAATCCTGGTGACAACAAGCATCCATAAAAGCTCACTTTCAGGGAGTCAGGGGTCAATGAGTGGAACCATTTAACAGAAGTAACCCCTCTCTTAGAAAATAACAAATGCTGGAGAGTAAATTCAAGGTGGTAAAGGTCACACTGTTTTTGATATCAGGACAGTATGATAAGTGGTTGCTGCTCTTGCACAAGGCAAAGGAAATCACAGCTCAGTCTTTCAATGAGAATAAAGAAAATGTTGGTGATTCTGCCATCCAAAATTATAGGGAAATTATGATGCTGATGCAGAATTGAATGAATGTTCTTGACATTAAAATATATTTTCTACAGCACACTAGAGATTCCAAATAGTTTTTATTTAACTCACATACCAACCCAAAAATTATACAATAAATAATCTTACCTTTTACTTTTCCTCGTGAAACTGAGATCTCAGGCAATGAATCTTCCCTTTCAGTTTCAGTGTCATATTGTTCTTCCATATCCTCCTCACTTTCAGAATGTCCAGAGGCTCCACTTTCTTCATCAGTTTCATTTGGTTCCTTCCTCCTTTGAATAGGGTCACCATCAAGCTGCTGGAGGGCAGGGAGAGCTTCTATCACCCTCTCCCTGTGAAATACAGGCAACCATGAACTGAAGATGAACAAGCACTCCATTACTGAGCCCTTATCAGCAAAAATGAATGTCATATTAATATGGATTAGTCACATTATGAATACTATTAGTATAGATAGTAACCTGACACACCTGCAAGAAAAGTCAGGATAGCTTTGGTCTCACATTTCATACCATCCCACTTTGTTTCTCATTTAAGGCAAGAGGAAATCTAGAGGACAGTAAAACAGATCTCCATCCTATTCTGTCACAGTCACAACAAATTTGTTGTGTTAAAATTAACCCATAAATCTTTTACTTTATTCGAGTCAAAGTACAGTGTAAAAATATTTTGTACATCTGTTTTCTTTCAATCAACCAATATTACAGTGTGAAACATACATATCAAATATTCTTTTTTATGCTTCCTGCTGCCTTCCTGTCCTTAGTCTTGTGTATAAACGTGAGTTAGATGGGGTCAATGTTCATGTTCCTTTGGTTCCACCCATTCTACTGATGTCACAGAGTGTTTGGAGACAAGGATTTCTACTCTAGCTTTCCAAGGGAGCAAATGTATCCAAACCAGATCCCTAAGGTCCTAGTAATTGTGCCTGATTCATTGCTGTCATGCAATCAACCTTGTTACCTAAGAACAGTACCTCTAGATAGACCCATGACAAAGCAAAGGAGGACGAATAGCAGTGATCTTTCTCAAACAACCTTTACTCAGTATCACATAATGGTATAAGTAGCTGGAGTGGTTATCTGGGAAAATATCAAAGACCTGGAATGAAACATTTTTAAAGCAATATAATCAGCATTCGGGTCTCACCTATATCCTTCGTGTTTGGTGCAGTCATTATCAGTCATCTTCAGAATGATGAGACTCTCTGGAAATTCACCTTAAAGACAGAAATAATTGTGCATAAGGAGGTAAGCAACTCCAGTGACAGCCATCAAGTTCTTGGACATCTGCCTTGGTGATCTATATAAATTTAAATTATTCTGTAGAATGCAGATCTTGCCTAAAGCAGGCTCAAGGAGCTGGACAGTCTATTCCTATTTCTTATATTCCCTTTGTCATGAATTTTGGTCACACATTTCTTCAACATGTTCCATTCTAAACTGCAATGTCAATATTTCTTACTCAGTTTTGACTGTCAGCCTTAGGAAACTGGACAGCTCTGTAGAACAATTTTCAAAACAAGGGCAGATTCAATACACTTGGATTTTAAATAAACAATCCAATCTATGAGACTGGTACAACTAGAGGTTATATCTACACAATCTGTAAGAGAGACTCAAGGAAGTATTTATTTTTGACAGAGTAATTATTCTCTGAAACAAACATCTGAGATGCATGATAGGTGTGGATTCACTACACAGTCTTTTCAAAGTGATTTGAACAGATTCCTGAGAGCTGAGTCAATTTCTGGCTATGGAGGGAAATTATCATGGTCAGCTGCATGTCTTCCAGAATTTGCTCAATTGTTTTCGGATTGGAGAGAAATGTCCCAGAAATTTTCCTGAAGTTGGCAGTGGTTTTTACTTCCCCCTGAAAACAACGGGGCTTGGATAAACTATATTGGATTTATTGGAAATGATAGGTAAAATGGTCCTTTCTCATCTATTTTCCAGTTATTTCATGGATTAATTAGAGAGCTGTTTCAAGGGGACAGCACATACATTATGGGCAGAATGGACTCCTCCTGTACTTATTATTCTATCCACTTTGGACAAAGAAGATGTGAATGGTGTAGAGGGAACATACTCTGGTTTGAACTCATCTCTTAGCCCTGCTTCAGCCAGTTCAAAAACTGGTAATGATGACATGTAGGAATATGCATTGTATTTTCAGCTGCCTGACAGAAATTAGTTCTGACAGTGCTGAGATACAAGGAATCTAAATGTACTCTGGTAAAAGCAACTGAAGGTGTGAAAACCTTGGAACATATCACGCAGAACAGATAAGGTAAACCCGTAACTGTAATAAAGCCACGATTTGTCAGTAGTACTGGGAGTCACAAGTTCAAAGCAGTAAAGTAAATTAAAAACAGATTTAAGAAAGTTCTTCAGACAAAGCATGATCACATGGATTAGCACCTTGATAGGATGTGGAATCAAATGATTTCAGATACTAGAATTGTTTGAAGCTGTTAAATGCCAAAAAGGGAATTATAAATTTGTCTGGAGTAACAGGTAGAATTAACATATTTTGTTTATCGCATGAAAAGCTCCTAGGTTGTAAACAAGACTTAATGTAGAGCGCAGATCAATTTAAAAGATGTACTGATAAATGCTGGAGGTTTGCAAGGGTGATTGGCCTAGATTAATTTCTCTCAGTATTTAATATTGTGATTTTGTTTTAATGCAGATTCATTAATACGCCCAGACCACTAATTTCCTTATTTATTAATAATTTTATAGATTACTGTAATATTGTTAGGTCATTATATTTGTGTGGCCCAACATCATTATTTGTGATTCAATCCCCTTTTAACCATTTTGCCTGATGTAGAAAAGCAGTGTTGTATCAAAGCCAGAAATCTACACTTGAGGTAGGTACAGATATTTACTTATGGATGAAAAGCACATTCATAATTTAGTACCTTTCAAGTAATTCACATACCAGACTTTGAGCTTCTACCTAACCTCCCACAGAACTTTCCAACTTTATTATAATATTGACACTGACACAAACTGCATCACTTAAGATATAAACTGAGAAAATTATGCAATTTTATTTTATTAGAAAACATACGTTCTTTCTTGATTTTGATGAGAAGAATCATTGATAGAGAATAAGCTTTCAGTCTCAAAACTTCCTAAGTTAACAGCAAGATCACATTCTCTTCATTCTGCTTCAGCAATGTATCTTGACCTTAAAAACAGTCAGACACAGCATCACTAGGAGACTCTATTACTACCATTCTCAAGTGTTCATAGGTAGAAGGAACTGGACAACATTCAAGCTCGGTGAATCACCATCATGAAATCCCCAAAATCAGCATCCTGGTGGGTTACTATTAACCAGAAACACAACTGGACTAGCCATATTGTGCCTACAAGGGTGGTCAAAGATTGGGAATTCTGTGGCAAGTAACTCATCACTTGACTCCCAAGTGTCTGTTTCCCATTAAAAGACAGAAATCAAATATATGGTGGTTAATCTCTATTTGGCTGGATGAATGCAACTTCAATAATATTCAATAAGCTTTACACCATCTAGGATAAAGCAGCCCACCTGATTGAAGTGCCAATCACCACTTTCAACAGTTACTCCCTCTGCTGCCAAAGCATAATGGCAGCAGTGTGTTCTCTACAGAAACCTGCTACCTGCAGAAACTCAACAATGCTCCTCAATTACACTTTTCATATCCATGACTCTACCACATAGAAGGACAAGGGCAGCAGATGCAATGGGAACACTATCCACTTTCAAGTTTCCATCCAAGCTACACACACCATCCTGACTTGGAACCATGTTGTCATTCCTTCACTGTGACTAGGATTAAATCTTAGAACTCTCTCCCAAACAGCAAATGAGTATACTCACACTTCGTGAACTGCAACCATCACCTTCTCAAGAGTAATTCTACATGGGCCACAAGTGTTGGCCTATGCAGTGATGTTCGCATCCTGTGAAAGATTGAATTTTTTAAAAATTGCAAATAATTTTGGTTGCATTAAGGATGACTTCATTTGCTGGACTCTGTCCCAATTTGAAAAAAGCTGAGTCTCTGCAACTTATTTTGTAAATGACCTTACAGTCATTAATGAGAGGATACTTTCATCCCCTTGATCTGACTGGGATTCAAATGCCTTCAAGAGAAATAACAAAGGACTAAATGTTTGTATGTTCCAGCAAAACAAGAATGTCCACTTTACAAATGTAAATGGTGATGAAAGTAAACGAACCTGGGTCAAGCTGTTCAATCTGATTATTTGAAAGGTCTAAGAATCCCAGTTGCTGCAAAGGTTTAAGGTTTTCCACCTTCTGGATTTTGTTACTAGCCAGTGTCAAAAATCTGCAATAGAATATAAGAAATTTAATATTCCCCACATTCTTTCAGGTTCTCTTGCATTATCTATCAATATGCCTTTCAATAGTCACTACAATCGTGACACAGAATAAGGACCCTCATAGGCACTCCAGCATTGATGATTAGAAAGAGTGTCCTTCGCATGAGTTACTGTGGATCCTAACATTAAGCGAACAGAGACTACACTAAATGAGTACTGACATGCATACAAAAGTAGGAGTCCTCACAGTAAGTAAATAATGATTCTTGCACTAAAGCCCTAGTGACCCTCACACTGAACAAGCAATGACTCTCAGTGGATGAGTTGTAGAAAATGAACACAAACTATAAACATGCCTTGTGCTAATTTTAATAGAACCAAAATATGTTAATGAATTTGGTTGTCATGTTAAATTGTACTCACCTTAAATTGCCAAGCAATTCTAAATTTTCTATCCTCTTTATCTGATTCTGCAATTAGAAAGAAAAAACATAAGGAGACAGTGATGTAACCTCCTAGCGAGAGATTGACTGTTCACATTCTAAGGTGGAAGATCACCTGTACTATTATTGGTGTTAGGATCTGTAACCTACTGGTCAAACTGCCTAAAATCACCTAAGCATCAACTTAACAGGATAGGAACAGGCCTTTTGGCCAAACAAATCCAGCAACATTTGTAAGACTTTTTTTTAAATACAGGGTGAGTTTGCATTTCATCATTACACCAGCACTACATTTCACTTTTAATTCGCCCCTGTGCTTAACTGCTTCACTCATGTTAGTTTAACTGTTCCATATTTTTGGATTTAATAATGCTCATGAATGCTCATTGCTATAAAGGTTAGAATTATCAATAATATTTTGAACAGTTTAAACTCCCCCCTTCCTTCTGCTCCTGATTCATAATAAGATCCGGTTAGACTGGAAGCGGCTGTGTTCCAGTAAATCATAATATAGTCTTTAATCATAGAATTTTTCAGCACAGTAGGAGGATATTCCACCCACTATATCTGCGCTGGCTTTTTGATAAAGCAGTTCAATCAATCCCACTTGAGTCCATGTCTGGATAGCAAATACTGAGCTTGCTAGATTTATGAAGTAAAACAGAAAGTGCTGGAGAAACTCAGCAGTTCCAAAAGCATTTGTGAGAGGGAATCAGGCGAAATAGAGTCCAATACCATTGTTTTCCAAATCATATTCTCCAAAGAAGAATTATACATAAAAACATAAAAACTAGGAGCATGGTGGCTCAGTGGTTAGCACTGCTGCCTCACAGCGCTAGGGACCCGATTCGATTCCAGCCTCAGGCAACTGGAGCTTGCACATTCTCTCTGTGTCTGCATGGGTTTCCTCTGGGTGCTCCGGTTTCCTCCCAGTCCAAAGAAGTGCAGCCTAGGTTGATTAGCAGTCAGAAATGCAGAGTTACAGGCGTGGGTCTGGGTGTGATGCTCTTTGGAGAGTTGGTGTGGACTGGATGGGCTGAATGTCCCGCTTCCACACTATAGGGATTCTAGGAGCAGGAGTAAGCCTTTCAGCCCTTTGAGTCGGCTCTACCCATTCAAAATGATCACAAAATGATCATTCAACTCAGTACCCTGTTCCTGTTTTCTCCCCGTATCCTTTGAACTCTTTAGCCCTAAGAGCTATATCTAATGGAAATAAGAGAAAAATACTGCGGGCGCTGGAAATCTGAAATAAAATGCCGAAAAACCCAGCTGATCTTTGTAGAAAGAAAGAGTTAACATTTTGAGTCCAATATGCTTCTTCGGAACTAAAAATGTGTTGGAAAATGTGTTTTGATACTTTTGGCAGAGGTACAGGAGCAAGACGACAGTGGGTGCAGAGGCCCAGTGCAAAAGACAAAACAGTTGTTCGTAGTGACGAAAGAGAGATGTAAAATAGGTATAAATTAATCAGTGAAAAGGAGAGAATGGGTCCCCTCCCTTTCAGTAAGTTAACATGGCAAGGTTCTGGGGCAAAGTAGGTGGGGATAGGGTGTAGGAATGTAAGAAGTGGGCATAAAACATTAACTCTGCTTCTTTCTTCAAGATGCAGCCAGACCAACTGTGCTTGTCCAAGGCTCTGTTTTTATTCTGGAAAGCAAGTGCAGTCAGGGTATTTGACGTGACAGTTGAGACAGATTTCCCCATCATCTAGTATACAGAATGTTGTAGTCCACCAACAGGTCAGAAAGGAGGAATATTTCGTCTTCTGGTTTGAAGTTGTTAAGGCTAATTGTAGCACTTCTACCATTAATTGAATTGAAATCAATTTATAAACTGGATGAGGGATTTGTCTTATAAACAGAGATTCAGAAATTGAGCAGTTTGGGCCTACACTCTCTGAATTCTGAGAAGAATGAGAGCTATAGAGAAGATGTTGCCTTATGTGGGAAATCCCAAACAAGAGGTCATTGTTTTAGGATAAGGGGTAGCAGATTTAAAGCAGTGTTGAGGAGACATTACTTCTCTCAAAGAGGTCGTGAATTGTAGAATTCATTACCCCAGAATCTGGAGGGTACCAGGACACTGTGTAAACTTTAGGAGGAGATAGATCAATTTTTAATTAGCGATGGGTTGAAAGGTTTTGGAGAGCAGTGAGGAACATTGAGTTGAGCCTGAGATCAGATCAGCCATGATCATATTAAATGATAGCATGCTCAAGAGGCTGAACTGCCTACCCCTAGTTATTTTGTTCTTATGTAAACTTGGAATTTTATAATCTTTATTACTATACTAGTTGGGGGGTTTACCAACTGAGATATCAAAAGAAGCCTGAATGTTTACTCTTCAATCACTTCAGCGAAACCATCTGTGGGAGGTTGCAAATAGTACCTGCTGAAGATAAAGACTGCAGACATTTTCCAAGCATTCAATATTTTCAAGGGCGCCAATATTCTCCCTGTCCAATCGAACAGTTGTCAACTTCCCCACGGCATTTGTTCTGTACAGAATATGAATTGTTTGTTAACATCGGGAGTTTAAATTTTTAATCAAAGCCAATCCAACAAAAAGGTATCACTGAGTCAGACTCAAAAAGACAACTAGCACAATGCTCCTAGCAACGTCGTAGCAAAAGAATTCACAACTTTTACATACTTGAGAACATTTTTCTTGCCTTTGTCAAAAAGAATTTGAGAGCATCTTTTTTACTAAATACAACCACTAGATGGAAGTCTTGTACTAATTTTAACAATTCTAATTATAAGTTTGCATTATTTAGAAAATGAAATAAATTATTCTAGGGGACTAGCTGGAAGAGAAATTGAGGTGAAGCAAAGAAATATGGTACTTTGCTTCTGCAAAGTTTATACCCTCAGCTAGGAAACAAGCTGATGCATCATAAATTATACACAAACACTAAAACTCAGAAAGATATTGCTTATGTCAATATTTCAGATAAAGAGAGTGAAGGTATGACAGTGGGACAATAACTCCCTCATATCTGAACTTCATGAGAATTATTAGAATTGGGTGGTACGGTTGCTCAGTGGTTAGCACTGCTGCCTCACAGTGCCAGAAACCTGGGTTCGATTCCACACTCAGGTGATTGTCTATGTGGAGTTTGCACATTCTCCCTGTATCTGTACATGTTTCCTCTGAGTGCTCTGGTTTTCTCCTACAGTCCAAAGATATGCAAACTAAGTGGATTAGCCATGGGAAATGCAGAGTTATAGAGATAGGATAGGAGGGTGGGTGCGGGTGGGATGCTGTTCAGAGGGTTGGTGTAGACTTGGCAGGCCAGATGGCCTGCTTCTACACTGCAGGGATTCTATGATTCTAACACTGTTCCATATTATTTCATAATATCTAAGTTACATTTCTTCCTCATCCTATACGTATAAATCCATTGCCTCTATGTCATTATCCATTGATACTTCTTATAAATTTCATATCTATATCATTTATCTCTCTTTTTTTGAGCTTATCATACTCCCCATCCCTTATTCCTGCATCCTTTACTCACATCTTTAAACTTTTAGGGGATGATGGGCAAATTGCCAATGTACTTTTAACACAACTGACTTTTTACCTAGATAACAAGGTGTGGAGCTGGATGAACACAGCAGACTAGGCAGCATCAGAATCATAGAATCATAGAATCCCTACAGTGTGGAAACAGGCCCTTCGGCCCAACAAGTCCACACCAAACCTCAGAGCATCCCATCCCCGTATAACCCATCTAACCTACACCTCCCTGAACACTACGGGCAATTTAGCATGGCCAATCCACCTAGCCTGCACATCTTTGGACTGTGGGAGGAAACCGGAGCACCCGGAGGAAACCCACGCAGAGGAGCAGAAAAGCTGACATTTTGGGTCGGGACCTTTCTTCAGAAATGGGGGAGCAGAATGGGGCTCTGAAATAAATAGAGAGAGGGGGAGGCGGTGATAGAAGGTGGAGCAGATAGGTGGAGAGAAGACGGAGAGGTCAAGGAGGCAGGGATGAAGCTAGTAAAGGTGAGTGTGGGTAGGGAGTTGGGATGGGGGTTGGTCAGTGAGGAGGGAGGGGCAGGTAGGTGGGAGGGAAAACAGACAGGTCAAGGAGGTGGGGATGAAGCTAGTAGAGGTGAGTGTAGGTAGGAAGTGGGGGTGGGGTTTGGTCAGTGAGGTGGGAGGAGCAGATAGGTGGGACAGAAGACGGACAGGTCAAGGAGGCGGGTATGAGAGGGGGTGCTGGTCTTGGGATGAGGTCGGGGGTGGGGAGATTTTGAGGCTCGTAAAGTCCACATTGAGACCATTGGGTTGTAGTCTTCCAAGGCGGAATATGAGGTGCTGTTCCTCCAGTTTTCGGGTGGCATCATTTGACACTGGAGGAGGCCCAGGATGGACATGTCGTCCAGGGAGTGGGAGGGGGAGTTGAAGTGGTTTGCGACTGGGAGGTGTTGTCGTTTGTCACGAACCAAGCATAGGTGCTCCACAAAGCAGTCTCCGAGCCTCCGCTTGGTCTCCCCGATGTAGAGGAGGTCACATCGGGAACAGCGGACACAATAGACCACATTAGCGGATGTGCAGGTGAACATCTGTTTAATGTGGAAAGTTTTCTTGGTGCCTGGGATGGAGGTGAGGGGGGACGTGTAGGGGCAGGAGTAGCATTTCTGGTGGTTGCAGGGGAAAGTGCCAGGGGTGGTGGGGCTAGTGGGGAGTGTGGAGCAGACGAGGGAGTCGCGGAGAGAGCGGTCCCTCTGGAAGGCAGATAAGGGTGGGGAGGGAAATATATCCTTCGTAATGGGGTCAGATTGCAGGTGGTGGAAGTGGCAGAGAACGATGTGTTGAATCCGGACGTTAATGGGGTGATATGTGAGGATAAGGGGAATTCTGTCTTTGTTTTTATTGCGGGGAGGGGTGTGAGGGATGAGTTGCGGGAAACGCAAGAGATGCGGTTGAGGGCATTTTCGACCACTATGGGGTGGAAATTGCAGTCCTTGAAAAATGAGGACATCTAGGATGTCCGGGAGTGGAATGCCTCATCTTGGGAGCAGATGCTGTGGAAGCAGAGGAATTGGGAATAGGGGATTGCATCCTTGCAGGAAGGTGGATGAGAGAAGGTGTAGTCTAGGTAGCTGTGGGGGTCAGTGGGTTTGAAATAGATATCAGTTTCCAGGTGGTTACCAGAGATGCAGACAGAGAGGTTCAGGAAGGAGAGAGAGGTATCAGAGATGGTCCAGGTGAACTTAAGGTTGGGGTGGGGGTGTTAGTAAAGTAGATGAACTGTTCGAGCTCCTCGTGGGAGCACGAGGCGGTGCTGATATAGTCATCGATATAACGGAGGAAGAGGTGGGGATGGGGCCAGTGTAGCTGCGGAAGAGGGATTGTTCCATGTATCCTACAAAGAGGCAGGCATAGCTTGGGCCCATGCGGGTACCCATGGCCACCCCTTTCGTCTGTAGGAATTGGGAGGAGTTGAAGGAGAAGTTGTTAAGGGTAAGGACGAGTTTGGTTAGGTGGATAAGGGTGTTGGTGGAGGGGAACAGATCAGGCCTGCGGGAGAGGAAGAAGCAGAGGACTTTTAGGCCATTTGCATGGGGAATGCAAGTATACAGGGATTGGGCGTCCATGGTGAAGATGAGGTGTTGAGGGCCAGGGAATCGGAAGTTTTGGAGGAGGTGGAGGGCGTGGGTGGTGTCCCGGACATAGGTGGGGAGTTCCTGGACCGGGGGGAGAAAATGGAGTCCAAATTCCCATATGCAGTTTCATCTGTGCTTTCTTCTTTGAAGTCTTACTTAACAATGGTATTTCACTGGACACTACATCTGTGCTAATAAACTAATTGATTCTGTCTCTTTTACAATGAATGAAATTTCTTCTCAAATATTGTAATGTGTTATACTTCCCAAATCTGAAACTGGAACTTTCAAATTCCTTAACATTGTCTTGATCCTCATCACTCAATGAGTCAATGCAATGTTTTAACCAGTCTAGTTCACACACTGTAGATGTATATCCACTGTCTAATACTGCACAATTGAAAGACTATGCCATCAACACATTCGTCAGTAGGCTGAAACCTGTGACTAATGCAGTGCCCTTTCTTTGGTCTGTATCTCCATCTTCTTTCTCCAAAGCTCATGTTTAGTTTCATGTTCTTTTAGTATACTATTTGAGAGAATTCATGGCATAATGGTACTTTGAATCACACCTGAAACATCGATTGACTACACCCTGAACAGTTCTAGGGTTCATTCTTTTATTGTAAATTTAAAATTGCATTCACTTCTCAGAAGTATCAATAGCATTTCTGCCCTAATTTCTATTAGTTACAGTTTTCCATTCAAATTATTGTCTAAAACCTGTACCTGATGGTCTTACTAAATTGTTATTGTTCTCCATTTTCTGTCATATTGCCCATTCGTGTTACAAATGCTGAAAGGAATACTTTCCTAGGAACTTTTTAGTACTTCTGACATCTGTTCTGGGAATGTATGTTTATCTGTAAAATTTAGTTCGCTGCAGGCATATTCTGTCTCTAGCAGCTCTCTCGCTGCAGCAACACTTCACCCATCCCACTATCATGAACATTTAATTTTATTAATTAATTACTCTAGTAGCTCTGCTCTTTACACCTTATTGTAATTTTTTTTACACCAGTATCAATCTTATACCTAACAAAATTATTTTAAGAACAAGAGAAACAAAAGATTAGAGACCTAAACAAAAGTTAAAAACCTTACTTTTAACTTGAAGAGTAGAAACAGCCATCAATCCTACTCAGCAACCAGCTGCTTTGTTTAGGCAAAAACAACCAAACACCTCACCCCTTCTTCCACTCAACTCTTGAAGGTGCTTAACTCCAGCACTCTGATGTAAACCACACTCAAGTGCTAAATCAGATTAAGTTGGCTACTTATAGAGTTGTGAAGAAGGGCCACTGAACTCGAAGCATTAATTCTGATTTCTCTCCATAGATGCTGGAAGACATGCTGAGTTTTTCCAGCAACTTCTGTTTTTGTTACTTACATATGCTGCCAACACAAAAGGTCTATATGAGTGTATATAGGGATGGCACAGTAACACTGCTGCCTCACAGCATCAGGGACCCGGGTACGATTCTAGTCTTGAGTGACTGTCTGTGTGGAGTTTGCACGTTCTCCCCATGTTCGCGTGGGTTTCACCCATGCTCCAGTTTCCTTCCACAGTCCAAAGATGTGCAGGTTAGGTAGTTTGGCCATGCTAAATTGTTCATTGTGTCCAGGGAAGTGCAGGCGAGGTGGATTATCCATGACAAATGTGGGGTTATGGGGATAGGGTGGGGTCCTGGGTTTCTGTTTGCTCTTCAGAGGGTTGGTGCAGACTCAATGAGCTGAATGGCCTCTTTCCGCACTGTAGGGCTTCTATGGTTCATTTAATGAGGATCTAGTTTCAGCTGGTTCTTAACTAGGTTGGTGTTTCACTGGAGCCCTTGAAAAAAAAACCCTATTTCAGGCTGGCAACTGCAGATCCTAAACTGTAGATTTCAGATTAATGTTGATTACAAACCACTGAATAAACTAGGCCAAATTAAATTTGTACAAGCTAAAGAATTAGACTTTCTTACTCAACAAATGCATACACTCAGTCCCAGCAAAAGCTCTAGATTTGCATCTCATCCCTTGTTGGCCAAAGAAGATAAGTTTGTAAAGTGGCAAAGCAGGTTGATTGTCAGCCTGTAAATCCTTTCAATACAAACACAGAGAATGCCAGTAAAACACAACAGGTCTGGCAGCATCTGTGAAGGGAGAAAAACAGGGTTAACGTTTAGAGTCTGGTATGACTCTTCTTCAGAACATAGCGGCTCCTTGCTGACTTTCTCCAGCATTCTCCATACTTGTTTCAGATTTCCAGTGTCCACGTATCTTATCCAGTATCTTGCTTGCAATCCTTTCACTGGTTGGAGTCATACTTGGCACACAGAAAAGTGATCGTTTTTGGAGATCAGTCATCTCAGCTCCAGGGCATCTCTGCAGGGATTCTTCAAAACATCCTAGGCCCAACCATCTTCAGCTGTTTCATCAATGATCTTCTCTCCATCGTAAGGTCAGAAATCAGGATGATCACTGATGATGGCACAATGTCTAGGACTGAGGTTGTAGACTTGCTCACCGAGTTGGTGTGTTTGGTTGCAGACATTTTGTCACCCTGCTAGGTAACACTGTCAGTGCACCTCTGCTGAAATGTTGGTGTTCTGTCCCGTTTGTTATTTATATGCCTTCGTTTGCTGGGGTGATTGGCATTACTTCTGGTTCTGTTTTTCAGTGGTTTGTACATCGGGTCGAGTTCAATGTATTTGTTGATGGAGCTCCGGTTAGAATGCCAGGCCTCCAGGAATTCCCTGGAATGTCTCTGTTTGGCTCGTGCTTATATGGATGTGTTGTCCCAGTCAAATTCGTGTCCTTCGTTGTCCATGTGTATTGAGCCCAGTGGGAATTAGTCATGTCTCTTGGTAGCTAGTTGGTGTTCATGTATCCTTATTGTCAGTTTTCTTCCAGTGTGGCCTATGTAATGTTTCTCACAGTCCTTGCGTGGTATTTTGTATATTAGGTTAGTTTTATTGATTGTAGGTATGGGATCCTTTACATTCATAAGTAGCTGTCGCAGGGTGGTTGTTGGTTTGTGGGCTACCCTGATACCTAGTGGTCTGAGTAGTATCCTAGGTATCAGGATAGCCCACAAACCAACTACCACTCTGCAACAGCCAATGACAAACATAAAAGATCCCATACCCACAACCAACAAAACTAACGTAATATACAAAATACAATGCAAGGACTGTGAGAAACATTACTTGGGCCAGACTGGAAAAAAACTGACAATAAGGATATACGAACACCAACTGGGCACCAAGAGACATGACCAATTCTCACCGGTCTCAATACACACGGACAAAGCAGGACACAAATTCAACAGGGACAACACATCCATAAAAGCACAAGCCAAACACAGACATGCCAGGGAATTCCTGGAGGGCTAGCATTCCAACCAGAACTCCATCAACAATTACATTGAACAGGACCTGATATACAAACCACTGAAAAACAGAACTGGATGTAATGCCAACCACCCCAGCAAACCGAGGCATATAAATAACAAGCGGGGCAGAACACTGACGCTTCACCAGTGACAATATTACCTGGTAGGGTAATGAAACATTTGCAACCAAACACACGGGCTCGGCAAGCAAGTCTACAACCTCATCCACAACCCGAGCTACAAATCTTCTCAAAAATTTCAATGATTGGTACTATTTGTGACTTGTCAAGTATTAAACAATCCATGTCCAAATACAACAAGACGTGGACAATATCCAGGCTTGGCCTGAAAAGTAGCAAGTAACAATTTACAGGTTATGACCACCTCCAATAATAGACACTTTAACCAGTTCTCCTTGATATTTAATGGTGTTACTATCACTGAATCCTCCTCTTTCAACATCCTGGGGATTATCATTGACCAGAAACTGAACTGAACTTGTCATATAAATACGGTGCTTAAAAGAACAGGACTGAAGCTAAGAATATTGCTGTGAGTAATTCATCTCCTGACTCCTCAATGCCTAGCCACCATCTACTAGGCACAAGTCAGGGCTATGTTGGAATACCCCATTTGCCTGGATAAATGCAGTTTCAACAACACTCAAGAAGTTTGACAACATCCAGGACAAGGTAGCACACTTGATTGGCACCACATTCACAAACATTTAGTCACTTCATCGCTGATGCTCAGTAGCAGCAGTGTGTACTATCCGCAAAAGTTCTGCAACAATTTGCCTTGATCCTTGGACAGCACTTTCCAAGCCCACGATCAATTACATCTAGAAGGACAAGGGCAGCAGATACATAAGAACACCGCCACCTGCAAGTTCTCCTCCAAGCCACTCACCATCCTGTCTTGGAAAAATCACCTTTCCTTATTGTCATTGGATCAACATCCTGGAATTCCCTCTGTAAGAGAATTGTGGATCAACCTACAGGACATGGACTGTAGCAGTTCAAAAAGGCAGCTCACCACTACGTTCTGAAGGGCAGCTAGGGATGGGCAATAAAATGCCAGCAACACCACACCACACAAGTGAATAACTAAAACAAAAACCTGATGAAGAGTGGGACAGTCTCCTGGTCAGCCATCCTGCAGCAGGTAATAGCAAACCATTCCAGTATTTTATCTATAAGTGTGGTTCACTCCAATGGAAACTCATGTCCCAGACTTCAGAAATGGAGACAGGAGAACAGACAAATGGGGAATGATAATCACAGGATCAAGAGGGGATCTTCCAATCTGCATAGCTCAGTGCCATGTCAAGAAAAATTGTTAACACTAACTGGTTGGAGAAGGCCTAATTGCATCATTGCTGCTACTCTCAGGTGCAAGATGGCAGCACAGTAACAGGTCTTCCTGTGGGCTCTTGCCCGGGGCTCATTAGCTCCAATCTGCTCTTTCTTCTTTGTTTTACTTTTGCTTCTGCTCTTTTCTTTTGCTTTATTTTCCTTTTTTTTGATCTTTTTCTCTTCTTTTCTGTGGTAAGTTGGTCAGCAGTAATGGCACTGCAGCGAGAACAGGCCCCATGCAAAATGGTGGACGTGGTTTCTCCCAGCGATCGGAGGCAACGGCAGTGAGGATATTCTCCCGGTGACAGGAGGCCAGCAGCAGCGAGTGTGTTCTGCCACCATTCGGGGCCTGTGGCAACAGCAGTGATGACATTCTCCCAGTGTCAGGGCTAGTGGCAGCAGCAGTGAGATGGTTCTCCCAGCGATCGGGGATGGTGGCGTTGGCGGCAGCAGACTCTTCAAGATGGCGGCACCAGCAAGGTGACATATGCAGCTGAAGCGGGACTCATGAGCCAGTGGTGGTCTGGCCTGCCAGCACAGTCAGGGACTCTTAGTTGTTGGGCGAGCATGGGTTCAGCGGCATCAGCAAAGTGGGCCCAGCCACAAATAGATGGCATCTAAAGTAGGCAACTCCTATACTGGTGGGTCCAACACTGGTGGCACCAAAGCAGTGGTTTCCCTTGAGTCTGGGTACTGGCATGGACTAGGTCGGATAGACTGATATTCTGAACTTTTTACTTCTTTATTTTTCGAATTTATTCCTAAGACCTATAACGCTGGACCATTTATTTCTTTACATCTCTAATATTTTTGTTTCCCAAGAATTTGATCTTAAGTATCTGTACCTAGGTACCTTTGTGCTGTAATGTAGAAACTGTAAATTTTTCACTGTACTCATTTGAGTAAATGTGACAATAAAGCTAATTCAATTCATATAACCACCCAGTCTTAAAAATACAGTATTATTCATTTATAATAACTCCTGCTGCCAGCCAGAATGGCCACCAGCACATGCACAACTGCTCCTGACACATTCCCAATTGGCAGACAGTAACAGCATCAGAAAATTTGTAACAAGTTGTTATAAAACCTAAAAGACCCCAAGGAACCACCAAAGCTACCTTAGGCCAAGATTTCCTGGTCAGACTGGAAGGCATACAAATTCAAATTCTGGACAGTGAGTCGTGGAGATGTCTAGCTTTGTGGATAAAGTTACTACACAAGCTTGGTTGATTGTCAATGGAACCCTTAATACTGTGTCAAAGTCTTGAGCCCCACATTAGACGATGTTTGTTTAATTTAATATGTTATTTTAAGTAATCATGGAATCATAAAATCAATTAACTGAGCAAGAAACTTTTGGACAAGGTCATTGGAAACGGCTCTCTAGTGGATATGTTCCATTATGAAACGTTGCAGCTTACACATTCATTGAAAGGTATGTGGATTTAGCATAATAGAACTAATTATTATTGCTGGTTAGTGCTGTTACTTTTCTCTTTGGTACTTTCCCCTCTTACTCTGTCATGGTTTAAGGTGGGGAATGGAATAAATGCAACACTAACTCCTATCCTCCGTAATGCATTTGCAAGAATTGCTCTCCCTGTTGCACATAACAAACTTTCTCTGCTGAGGGCAGCTACTCACATGTCTTCTGGTGTCAGTTTTTCTGCAGGGAGTTGCAAATTTCGCTTAGCGATCAGTGACATGGAAATGTACACTATCTTCTTTGATTCATGTGGACTCTCTGAAAACAACATGAACACATCCTGGTTACTGAGATAGTAGGAACTGCAGATGCTGGTAAAACTCCCTCAAGGTCCCTTACAAGTTAACTTTAACTATGGAGCTGGTAAATATAATGGAACACTCTTAGTTGATAAGGTTTGGCACTGTTGCCCAGACACAAATCTGACCATAGCAACATAAAGAATAAATATTGCAGCAACTGACTTATTCAGGTAAAATCACTAAGCAGCCCCATCACATTACTTCTAGGTACTGTATTCAGCATGCATAAAGTGAGAAGTCACACAACACCAGTTTATAGTTTAACAGGTTTATCTGAAATCACAAGTTTCGGAACGCTGCTCCTTAATCAGGTGAAGTGAGCAATGCTGTGAAAGCTTGTGATTTCAAATAAACCCATTGGACTATAAGCTGGTGTCATGTGACTTTTAACTTTGTCCATCCCAATTCAACACTGGCACCTCTACATTCAGCGTGGATAAGCAGTGTTGGTAAAAAAACATTTTGGGGAATTTTAAGCTCATGAATCGTAGAATGACTGCAATATAGAATGAAGCCATTTGTCATGTTGTGTTCATGACAGCTCTCTGTAAGGATTAACCAGATAGTCCCAATCTCCAGCCTGATCCTTGTAGACCTGCATTTTCTCATTGGGTTCTTATCCAGTTCCCTTTTGAAAGTAACAGCTGAATCTGTCTCCACAAAACTCTCAGAAAGTACATCCCAGATTCTAGCCATTCACTACGTAATGAAGCTTTTCCTCATGTGGCTGTTGCTTTCCTTACCTTTCATTTGACATCATTACTCAATAGTTCTTGATCCCTCTGCCAACAGGAGCTAATAGTCTCTGTCTAGTCTGTCGGAACCCCGTGTTATTTTGGACACATCAATCAAGTCTCCTTTCAACTTTTCCGTCTCTGAGAAGTCTCAGCTTCACCAATCCATCTACATAACTGAACTTCCCTCATCCCCGGAACCATGTGATGTTGATCTGGGAATATATATATTTTGGCCAAGAACAACTAGGAAAACTCTGCTCTTTTTCTTTGGAATAGTGGAATTCATCACAACAGGCAGATAGGGATTCAGATTGACGTCTCAGCCAAAAGACGGTACCTCCGGCAATGCAGTACTCCCTCACATGTTAATAGAGACCTGTGGAGCAGGTGGGACTTGAAGCTCCAAGCTCAGAGGGAGGGACACTACCAGTGTGCCACAAGAGCCCTTTCAAACCATTTAACGGTTTATTTCTAGGTATTTTCTACTCAAATTTGTTCTGAGCTTTTATTACACACCTCTGGAACAGGTGGGAAATGAACCTCCTGGATGAGAGATAGGGTGGCTACCAGTGCATCATAGAGCTCTTTCATCCCATTTAAGGTATTTTCCAACTGACCTATTCTGAGCTGATATTACACACCTATGGAGCAAATAGGATTTGGACCAGGGCCTTCTGGCTCAGAACAAAAACTGAAATTACTGGAAAAGTTCAGCCAGTCTGGTAGCATCTCTGGACTGAAATCAGAGTTAATGTTTTGGGTCCAGTGACCCTTCCTCAGAACTGATGGTAGCTAGGAAAATGTCAGTTTATGTGCAGAAAGTAGTGGGGGAGGGAGGGGTAAGGAGTAAACGATAGGTAGGGATAGAGCCCAAAGATAGAGAAGAACATTTGGACAGACAAAGGATTGTATAACGATCTGGCTAGGAGGGTGAATAGTTGTTAATGGGGACTGTTAGTGGATTACAATGAGTTCTGCATAATTGCAGACTATGTGATAACAAAGTCTCGTTTGTGGGGTTGGGATAAGGACATGGGAGCACTCAAGCCCTGAAGTTGTTGAACTTGTTATTGAGTCCAGAAGGCTGCAGGGGCCCCAAGCAGAAAATGAGGTGCTGGTTCAGAGGCAGGGACATTACCACAGCGATACCAGAGCCTTTCTTTTTTTTTACTACTGTGTTCTGCACTTTTCCCTGACTGAACATAATTTCCACTATGTTACCTTTAAAAAAAAATCTTCAGAACATTCAGATCAATAGCAAGGCCAGTACTGTTTCACATCCCCAAATGTCCCTGAGTAGGCCTGCTTATTGGTCTGTTTCAGAGAGCAATTAAGAGCCAATTATGTTATTGTGAGTCTGGAGTTACATATAGGCCAAACCAGGCCACTGCCTTACTTATTCCATGATCAGTGCCTGTCCCAATCAAATTTCTTATTGTCTTCAACATGACACTGTCTTGCTCAAATTAAATGGGGCCTGCTAATGTCATACCAAAAGGTGTCCTGCCAACATGCAGCTGAACTGCTGTCTATTTTTTCCCCAATCACATTACACACCTCTGGAGCAGGTGGGACTTGAACCCAGGCCTCCCAATCCAGGGATAGGGACATTATGACTGTCCCACAAAAGGGCCCCTGGACAGCAGTCTAATATTTTTTATTTAACTTATTTTTCTAGGTTATATAAATAGATAGGGTCACTATCAGTGCACCACAAGAGCTCCTTCATCCCATTTAAGATATTCTTCAATTGACCTCTTCTGAGTTGTTATTACAGACCTCTGGAACAGGTAGGACTTGAACCAGGGCCTCTTGGCTCAGAAGCCGGGATATTTTACCAGGATGTTGCCTGGTATGGAGGGAAGGTCTTATGAGGAAAGGCTGAGGGACTTGAGGCTGTTTTTGTTAGAGAGAAGAAGGTTAAGAGGTGACTTAATAGAGACATACAAGATGATCAGAGGATTAGATAGGGTGGACAGTGGGAGCTTTTTTCCTCGGATGGTGATGGCTAGCACGAGGGGACATAGCTTTAAATTGAGGGGTGATAGATATAGGACAGATGTCAGAGGTAGGTTCTTTACTCAGAGAGTAGTAAGGGCGTGGAATGCCCTGCCTGCAAAAGTAATAGACTCGCCAACTTTAAGGGCATTTAAATGGTCATTGGATAAACATATGGATGATAATGGAATAGTTTAGGTTAGATGGGCTTCACAGGTCAGCGCAACATCGAGGGCTGAAGGGCCTGTACTGCGCTGTAATGTTCTATGTTCTATTATCATTGTGCCACACGAGCCCTTTCACTCCACTAGCTTGTTTTTTTTTCCTTTATTAAATTATTTTTCTAATTAACCTGTTCCGAGATGTTATTACACACCTCTGGAGTAAAGTAGGACTTGGACCCAGACTCCTTGGTCCAAGGGTAGGGACACTACCACTGCACCACAAGAGGGCCCCCAGATGCAATCCCAACTGAGCTATTTCAGCTTGGCACAACGTAGAGGCTGTTTTTCAAAGTGTTTTTAACCTATTTTTCTAATCAGGCTGTTCAGAGATGTTGTTACACACCACTAGAGCAGGTGGGACATGAACCTCCTGGCTGAGAGAGAGGGTCACTGCCAGTGCGCCACCACAGCTCCTTCATCCCATTTATTTCCCAATCGACCCGTTCTGAGATGTTATTACACACCTGTGGAGCAGGTAGGGCTTGAACCTGGGCCTCCTGGCTCAGAGGCAGGGACATTACCGCTGCACCACGCGAGCCCTTTCACTAGATTTAATTTTGACTGAGTTTAATTGGGGTCGGTGGGTGGAGGGTATGCAAGGCAATCGAAATAGTTTCTTATTTTCAAAGCTAACAGCGGTTTTGATTTATTTGCCCCCTTTTGGAGGGTGGGGGGGGGGGAGCTGTCAGGCAGAGAAGGACGGACTCACCCTCCGCCATTGTGTCCTCCGTTACCCTTGGCAACCGCCAGCCCGGGCACCAAGGAGAGCTCAAACTGCGCAAGAGAATCCCCCCGCACCTCCTTGTTTCAGAGTGTGCTCCGGCGCACACCCTAGTGGCGGAGCTGCGAACCGCTTTAAACTCAGGCGCCCACGAAAGTTCCTTCGAACTCCGTCCAACTCCGAGGAACAGCAGCTAAACTGAACACATAACAAATAAAAACGCTGGAAGGGGTAGTGAGAGCAAACTATCCTTGAGATCACTGGAGGTAGCAGGACAGGTGGAGTGGCAATGAAGAAAGCATTCGGTGTTCTTGGCTTTATTAACAGTGGCAAAGAAGAGTAGAAAATCAAGGGGTGATGCTGAACTGAGATAACAAGGTGTAGAACTGGATGAACACAGCAGGCCAAGCAGCATGAGAAGAGCAGGAAGGCTGACGTTTCAGGTCTAGACCCTTCTTCAGACCCGAAACGTCAGCCTTCCTGCTCCTCTGATGCTGCTTGGCCTGCTGTGTTCATCCAAATCTACAAGTTGTTATTTCAGATTCTCCAGCATCGGCAGTTCCTAATATCTCTGTGATGCTGAACTACCTTTAGACCTTGTTCGACCTCAGCTGGAGCATCGTGTACAGTTCTAGGTGTCAGTGATTCTGAAAATGGAGATAAAAGGTTCAGGTGGATAACCCTTCAATAAAATTTATTTTGATCTCAAACTTTTTGATTGCTCAGAAAATTATAGGAAAGAAGTGAACGTATTAGAGAGGATTCCAGAGATGAGGAAATTTTGTTACAAGGACCGATTGAAGAATTTGGAATTATTTTCCTTGAAGAGAAGGCAACTAAGTGGAGGTATTCAGAATCATGAGGGCGGGGGGCAGGACACAGAGGGAGAAGCTGCTCTCTCTCCTAAAAGGAACAAGAGGGCATATGCTTAAATTTATCCACAAAAGGTGCAAAGGTGGCGAGGAAAAGCTTTTTTTTTCACTCAGCAAGTAGTTACGATGTGGAATGCATTGCATAGAAGTATGGTGGAGGCAGGTTCAATTAAGACATTAAAAAGAGTATTGAATGATTATTTAAATAAAAAGAATATGCAAGTGTATGGGGGGGAAGCAGGAGTTTGGCAAAAGGCAATGAAGCTCATTTAATGAGCCAGTGCAGGCATGATGGGCCAAATGGCCTCCTTCTGTACTGTATTACTTCTGTGATTCAGTGAGTCTGAAAATAGTGTTAAAATTTCAGGTGGATAATCCTTCAGGAGAATTCATTTCGGTTTCCCGCACTTTGATTGCTCAGAGAATGACACCGGTACTGAAAGGTTTATAATCAGGAAAGATCTTGGATGGTGGTAAACAATTTTACTTGGAGCATAAAAATGTGGGCAAAACTACAGGATAAGCCTACAAGACTACTTCACACAGTTTAAAAACATGGAATTGCAAACAGATGGAGTGAAAGATCAGGAGAGAGACTGAGGGAGGTTGACTGGCATCCAGAGATAATGAGAAAGCAGCCTCAAAACTTTGGCAAATTCAGATGAGATCATTTGCTGCACTTCTTCAGAAGACTAAGTGAAAGCCAATGCTGGAAAGAAAAATTTGTGCCGAGTGCCATGCGTGAAATTGTCCCTCGCCAGTAATGCAGGATCTTCTCTGCTGACGCCTGGTTTGCAGAGTTTTGTCTGCTTTGCAGCTTCTGAAACCACATGTTGTCACAATGGCTAACTCCTACCACAGCTAGTTGGCACCACCATTTGCATTGATTTTCAGTTAGAATTTCCCACTTGTCACAATTGATGTGGAGGACTTTCATGAGAGAGGTTAATCCGGGGGAAAAAGCCAAAGCAAAATATAGAAAGCAGGAGACTAGCACATCGAGTAAGGATAACAAGAATTAGGAACAACAGGAGGTCATTTTGACCATGGCTGCTCTTCAACTCATTTCCCAACCACCTCCCTAATCCTTTGATTCCAACATGCAAAAATATAAGTTGCAGTCTTAAATACTCAACAGCAGAGCTCCTGCAAGGTTTGAGTTATAAAGGAGACTGGGGCATTTTTACCTGGAGTGTAGGAGGCTGAGGGGTGACATTATAGAGGTTTATAAAATCATGAGGAGCATTGATAAGACTAATAGCGAAAGACTCTCTCTCTCTCTTTCACTGCTTCCCTCCCCCCCACCCCTGGCAGGAGATCCAAATCTAGAGGGCATAATTTTAAAAGTGAGATGAGAAGAGATTTAGAAGGGACCCAACGGGCAACATTTTGCACACAGAGGGTGGTGCGTATATGGAATGAGCTGCCAGTGGAAGTGGTAGAGGTGGGTACAATTACAACGTTTAAAAGACATTTGGACAGGTACATGGATAGGATAGTTTAAGAGGGAAAACAGGGTAAATGCTGAGAAATGGGACTAGTTCAGTTTAGGAAACATGGTCAGCATGGATAAGTTGGGCTGAACAGCCCATTTCCATGCTGTATGACTCTGAAAGATTTACAAACCTTTGAAAAGAATGAAAAAAAAACATTTTTCAGAGATAGTAGGAACTGCAGATGCTGGAGAGTCTGAGATAACAAGGTGTAGAGCTGGATGAACACAGCAGGCCAATCAGCATCAGAGGAGCAGGAAGGCTTACGTTTCGGGCCTAGACCCTTCTTCAGAAATGAAGAACATTTTTCAGGGTTGATTTGGCAGGAGATCTTTATAAAAGGCATCTGACAGGATAGGTGTAGCTGATATTCCATTTTTTGGGGTGGTGGTTCATGAATAAAAAAAAAAACAAGTAGTCACTAATAAAACCAATAAATAATTCAGGAGAAATTTCCTTTACCCAGCAGGATGGTTAGAATGTGGACCTTGCTATCACAGTTGAGGTGATGGTTAGAAGTTCTCCAAAGGAGGCTTGATAAAACATAAAAGAAAATATTAAAAGCAAATGCAGATATGTTTAGATGAAGTAGGGTCTGAGGAGGTTCAGAAAGCATGACTTGTTTCTGGGCTGAAGACTGAATGCATTTTCTCTTTAGTCTTTCAGAGTTAGTGCCACACTAATTTGCTAAATTAATTGCCTAATATCTTATTTCAAGGGTGAAAATGAGTTCTGAATTTATAAAGATATAAATTCCCCCACTCCTTAAGCTGTCATGTACATTTAAAATAAAACACTTGTAGTCATTCCTGTAATTTATTAGTTAACAGCATCATAAATAATACAGAAACAGAAACATTTCACAGTCTGTGACAGAGTAACTTCACTTGGTTGTTCTCGGAACATTTTTCTAACACATTTTTCGTTGACTATTTATTGCACACCACACGCTATGCCAACATTTCCTTTGGCATAGTTTTCAACTAATATGTACTTTTCCTTCCTTTTATCTCATATGCTAGTCTACAAAGAGGGAAAGGGTATTATTCATCTGTATTGCTCAAAATGCAGAACACTCGTTGGCATTTCGACATATACCACTAACATTGCATTTCTATGCTTTGAAACCCTAATCCTTGTTTGAAATCCATGGTAAAACGCAAGTTTGGAGCTCTCATTTTTGTAGGTTTAACTATTTTCTATTCTCTATTGGAAGTGCACATGTATTAAATTTCTGTCTTATTTGCATTAATTTGGATGTTACCTCCCTTGCAACAGGTACAAGTTGGGTTAAAATAGTTCACAAAGGAATTGGAGGGAAGCAATTATCCAGTGCACTGAAAACGCACGGCAAGCAAAGTTAAACTCCTTTAAAAGGGCTGGGTGCCCATCTTTGCACATTCCAAAACAATTCTGTCCAGGGAAAAGACTGATGAAGAGTAATCAAAAAGTATCTCAAATCCTTTAGCAGCAAATTAAAATTCAGTCTAAAAACATAATGCATAAATTTTTTGGAGGGGGTGTAAAAGGAGGAGAGTTTCTATATATAAAATAATATAATTTAAATAGAATATTTCAAACAAATTTCATATTTTATAAACGTTCACAGTCCACTATGATAAGGGGAGTTTCTGGCCCCAAAATCTCTAGCTTTAACACTGCTCCATTAACATCATGGAGGACAAAGGTCAAGAAGTGATTGTATGGGTGACTCCAAATGTATGACGTGATGGAAATTCTTTGCCAAATGACTGTGCCCTGAGGAATGTTAAAGGATGAAACAAAAAAAAAGTGCGGTCCTTTTTGTCTCTAAAAAGACAGCAAATAGAGTCACAAGTGCAACATTTCCAAGCATGTGACCATCTTGAGAATGACTTGGTTGGTGAGGCCATTAATTACAGGGGGCAAAAAAAAAGCCAACTCCTGCTCTTCGTTAAAAGAGGAATTTCGCCCCCACAGAACTGGAGACAGGGAGACGCCAGTAAGTGTATGTTTTCAACATGCAGGATTACACAGCAATTTAGTGGATTACACATCCCCTTTAATTAATTCTGTAATATAAATGGCCTGTTAAGACTCAGGATCCCTTTAAATTGGGTATACTGTACAATTTTTCCTTAGCTGATGTCAGATCACTACCAAACAGCAAGATTTCAAATGGAATATTATAAGGTTGAAATAAGTAGAGTCTGGTTAAAACTGTAGAACCAGCCTTCAACTTAACTAGCCAAGCTCTTTTTTTTAAATACAAGAACTAAATATAAAGACCATTTTGCAAATATAATTGTGTGTCCTTCAAATGTGGCAAGGTAGGAATTTTTCCTGTCAATTTCCTGTTTTCCTTCTGAAGTTATCCCCCAGTTTCTCCCAAAGGCTTTGATGGGTTCTTGGCACTACAAATGAAAATTGGGATTATTTGGAGGGAGGGTGATTCATACTTGTTTTGCAGAAAAGAGAAGCAAAAGTGTTTCATCTTGTAACCATCGAGAAAAATGCAAGAATGCCAAATTTCAAACAATCCCAAAAATGTATACTACGGGAGAAGAGGGTGCTGGTCAGTTGGCTGGTCAACTGTTTGAAATGAAGAAAGCAAAAGTGCCTTTATTGAGGTACCCCAGAGCTTGGAAGCATATGACTTCCTTGTTGCTTTCTCCATGGCAATGCGTTGGCCAAGCAGAGAAATCATTCAAACCAAATCAGCAGCTTTTTCCACGATTCACAAAAAGCTAGCTTCAAGTTCACTATTTCAGAGGGAATGGAGTATAAAGGTCAGAGATTTTGTTACAACTATACAAGAACCTAGTTGGACCACCTGGGAATATTGTGAATCGTCTTGGGCCATTTATGCTTGAATAGATATACTGGCGTTGGAGGCAGTCCAGAGAAGGGGAGGCGATGGCCGAGTGGTAATATTGCTGGACTGTTAATTTAGATGTCTGGGGGAGCAAATCCCACTATGGCAGATGGTGAATTTGAATTCAATTTTTTTTTAAAAAATCTGGAAATAAGAGTCTAATGATGACCATGAATCCATTGCCAATGACGAAAAAACCCACCTGGTTCACTAGAAGTAAACTGTCATCCTTGCCTGATCTGGCCTACGTGAAATTAGGGATGGGCAATAAATGCTGGCCTAGAAAACATCATCTTCATCCCGTGAATGAATTAAAAAAAAAGGTTCACTGGGTCAGTACTAGGTTTTGATGGACCCTGTGGAGGTGATGGAGTAGATTGGGCCTGTACGGGTTAGAATATAAAATAACAAGGGCTGCATTTATTCAAGAATGCAAGATCCTTATAGGACTTGATGGGGTACCTGTGGAACAGTTGTTTCCCCTTGTGGATGAGTACGAATACGAGGGCACACATTTAAGAGAGACATCAGTATACATTTTTGAGGGTTGTAAATCTGCAGAATTCTTTAACACCGAGGCTGTTGAGGTTGACTCACTATATACATGCAAGGCTGAGAGAGGTATTTTTAATCAGTAAAATGAATCAAGGGTTCTGCAGGAAAGTGGAGTTGAGAGTTATCAGATTAGTCGTCATCACTTCATTGAATGGCAGAGTAGACACAGTGGGCTGAATGACCCACTTCTCCTACGTCTATGGTCTTTTCACCTGTAGTATAAAATTGTTGTGATAATTTGAAATTTGGTACTCTTGCATTCGTCCCAATGACTGCAATACAGAAGTAATTTTCACAACATGTCTCTCTTTTCTATAATATTCAAGTTTTGTACAACCAAGCCTTGGTTTCACTTGTACAACAAAGGCCCTCCAACCCTCAAAATAACTGAAGCAGTCTTTGCAAGCTAAAAAACGTTAACATAAACCAGAAATCAGCTATGACTACAACAGAAAAGCAAACCACTAGAAATCCAGGAAATCTGAAATAAAATCAGAAAATGCCAGAAGTAATCAGGTCCAGCAGCATTTGTCATAGATTGTGTAAGAAATTATGTCTTCACACCGTTTTAGAGTATTTTCTATTTTTGTTTCAACAAACAGCAACTATTGAACAGGTGAAAGCTTGCTCCATCCCTTATACTGACAGTTGTCAAACTACCACACCTACTCACTGGATACACATGGGCCACAGAATTGAAGATGGAGATCAAAGCAACAGAAGGACACCATTAAAAGATGATGTCTCCAAAAAAAAAAGGGATAACTTTACTTGTCAAGTACGGATGGGCAGTATTTCACTCAAGTACCAGTCTTTTCTTTCCTATATCCTTCTTCTCCATGCCTCACCACCCCAATTCTTGCAGGACACCAGATACCAGCTTAGAGTCTCCATGCCCACGACTTTGCAATAAATGGCATTAAGTTATACAAATTTGAGGAGTTAAGTTTGCACACAAGCACTTTCAAACAGAACTCATTCGATGTCACTTACGAGCAAGATTCAAGGTGAGCCCCTCTTTCCATCACAGGACATCAGAAATGATTAAACATTTTGATCTTCTATTTTTATAAAAAGAAATTAAAATCCAACTGTCAGCAGGGACAGTGATTGAAACTGGCACTTTCCCAAACCAATCTCCATACATCTGCTGCTTTGTGCAGTAAACCTATATTTTAGGATAAACTTCCAGAAGAAAGGAAGAGGACATTAAGAAATTACTGGGCCACTTGAAAACACCAACTGAATAGGGCATTGTTGGCATGGCAACACGTTTCACAGGCTACGTTACTAATGTAATGGAGCACTTAAGTGACTTTTTTTTTTAAAAAAAAGTAGTCATGGCTCCATTAATTTTGATGAGAAATGCCTTGGTTTGTGCATTAGTTTAACATTTCCCAGCTCATTGCCAATGTTAGATTTTAGCATTGGGTTATTGTTGGTCTATGTTTGCCTGAACACAAGAATGTTACCTTGTATGAATATTTTAAAAATGAGGATAGTTAATTTGAAATCACAACCTAAATCTGACTTAAATTAATTATTCCCAACATTAATCTGTTTAGTGGGTCATGTTAATTAGCCTTAATTAGGAATAGCTGCATTAGCATCCCTTTGTAGAGTTTGTCTCCTGATTTCAATACATATTTCACTGTCAATCAGCTTACCAGCACCTCAAGATTAGCAGCTACAAAAGACAATTTTTCCAATAGTTAAAAATCAATACATCAGCAAATCCATGGGCAGGCAAGAGAGTTTTCAAACACATATGATGAGGAGTTTGTGTATGCATGTGTCAGGTTCAATGGTTTCAAGCAAGATATCCATTTACTTTACTTTCTCTGGTCAATGGTCCAGCAGTTGATAAACCACAATCTTCAAGTCAAAAGAAAAAGTGAAGAGACACATATTAAGACAGGAACAGGAGAGGTTAAATGATTTTTCATTCATTGATAATTGACAATTTCTTGACCAAACAGAAGCTCACACTACTCTTCCTTTTGAATTGTATTCAGCGGAGTTGCTTATGACATTTTATCCCTCCTGCTTTATCTTACTTCTGGATGGCAACTCATATTAAACATATTTCTATTGGACACTGGTAACTTTCCTTCACCTTGTCCTGTTCTGTCCAGAGAGACAGACAGATTCAGACAGATGGGTAACCAAATCAATTGCATGGTTTAAAGGATTCGATATGCAAAGGAGGTGCACAATACACTCTGGTCTGCTATTTTACACCATCGATCAAACCCTTCAAAATGAATCATCACCCTTAAAACTGGCCTTTGCTCTGGGACCTTTTTAAAGGTATAACAGGATTACAAGTAATTCTTCTGATAAACATTCAGAATTTTAGCTGGTTATGTTTAACAGTTTCTCCTCAGCGACTAATTCTGAATCTTCTGTTTATGTCAATCTGTTTTGCATAAAGTATAAAGCCACATTAAAAATGGAAACATATCCTTGATTGCAAGTTCCTAAACACACTGCTTGATCTGAATGAACAACTGTCATATAAATTGTGACTGAAATTTCACCATTTATATAGATGTATACTCTTTATTGAATTTCTATCGCTTACACTGATTCATGTCCACTTTAGGTTTGGCTATAGTCTGATGTAATTTGCAAAATACAGCTGTAAATGAATATCAGCAAAATGATCCATTCTCAGATCTAACTATCAGGTTACACCCAACGAGGAAATTCCTGAATTTATATATGCAAATATGGTATACTGACAGGGCTTATTGCATAGTCAACAGATTGGATTTCCTTCTCTTCCAACCCCAACTACAGCATATATTTCCAAAATGCACACGGTTCAAGGACAGTCCCCAAGCTGGATTTAAAATACACTTTGCACAACAAATTATTAACAGAATGAGAATTACCTAAAGGGAATTTGCAGAAGTTTCACATTTGACAGTTTATTTGTAAAATTTGATCTCTGTGTCAACACAGTCAAAGAACAGATCTGCCATCTCCTCTGGATCAAAAGTTCCTCCACTGGTCAACATGTTCTTGATAGCATTTAATGCCTGTCTCTCGAGGTTTTGCATAGTCTGGTGCAATTTTACACCTTCCTCCTGAAAGGGAACAAGTATTACAGTGATGTACATTAGCAAGACCCAGGCAAAGTGTCCTTGTAAAGTTCTTATCTCAATCCTATTTCTCTCCATCGCTCCGCATGCCAGTGTGCTTATTCAACCGTTCAATTTGCTTTTTATTTTAAAATTGAAAAGTTGAAGTGAAGAACCAAGGCTCAGAACAGTCAAAGGAAGGAAGGAAGGTAAAGAGAGAAAAATCAGGAAGCACTGTTTCACTGATGCCAAATATTGAAGGGAGAAAGAACTGAGATAAATAAAGAGATCCAAAAGTTTTAAATGGCAAGGAAATAACTTATTACAAGTTTTTTTGAAATGGGACCAGCATTTGTTGCCCCTTCTTAATTACCCTCCAGATGGTACTGTTGAGCCAATTTAGTGGTAGCATTCATGGGTTAGGAATGTGCAGTCAAAGGAGGCCTTTACAAATTACTGCAGGGCATCTAATAGATGGCATACATG